GTAAATACAAATCCAGACCCCAACAACCCAATAGGTCCTTTTGTATAATAAACTTCGCAACAGGGTATTTAGACCTCTGCCCATATATATATATATATATATATATATATCCATCCCTCCCCACCCCTCCACTCCAATGGTTCGCTGCCGAGCTGGACATTCAGGCTGGAATCTGGAACCAAAGCCAGGCAGGCAAGGGCCTAAAGGTGGTATGATGCGAACCATGGATGGTTTTGTGTAGCAGGCATGTCTCGCGGCTTCCAATTGGTAAATGAAACCATGCCTATGAAGTGGGGTCGAAAGGGCGTAAGTCCAAAGCAGAACTCAGAACTGGCACCTCTTTCCAGCATATTTGTTGCAGGCTTGCCGAATTAATCTAGCTACGAGGCTGCTCTGACTCCTCCTCTGAAAGTGTGGATGCCTGAGTCACAGCGGGATGTGCCCGGATCTCGGAATTAACAAGCAATTTCACGAGACCCACCAACATGAGCCAAGGCTCCAGTTGGTAGAGCCATACTGCGAACAGCAAAAGGCATCCCAGGAGACCCTCGGGACAAGCCATCTACCCTCATTCAGGTCAGTCTTGTGCTCGTTGTGACTCGTTTCCAGGCCTGCGGCCCGAGAGCTTCTCCGAGGAAGAGGTACGCGAAGAAAGCGCCCCACAGCCTGTCTGGCAGTTGTCGCGGCTGAGTTTTGAAATCATGCGGCCCCCCCCCCCCCCCGNNCCCCCCAAAAAAAAAAAAAAAATATTCCCCTTCGGCCCAGGCACGGGTCCAGCGCATAGATGGCAGATGCCGTTGTGGCCGGCACGCTTTGCTGACCTATGGTCTGAAGCCAGTTCGTGAATGCCGTCGTCAGCACCCCAAGATAGAGCACCGACCACCTGAGTCATTGTTGGGATTTCCCTAGGTGGTCTTGACCAGGCGCAAGAGCGTGCGATCGCCTCACAGTGTAGCTGAGAGGCGGTTGGTTGAGGAGCAGATCCCAACAGCGTCCTGCGACGCTGGTTACTGCCGAGGCAGCGAGGCCATCTAAGGGCCCACCGAGCACCTCCAGCACCAGAGATTAGAGATTGTGCGCTGCAAGCACAACGAAGCCGGTAGAAGCTAAGTATCTTAAAAAGGGCGCAAGTCACCGGAATGATTCTGGGCTGATAGCTGTGCCATGGAGGCTCCAAATTTGAAGCTGGTACTCGAGATGCTGATTGCCGACAGATATTTACACTTGAGAGGGTCGATTTGTCCTGCTGCAGATCAGGGCCTGTAAATTTGAGATTATAGATCTTGTCGCGTCGGCAGGCTGCAGTGGGGACGTCTCTGAAAGAGCAGGTTGTGTGCCTGGTTCTGGAGAATGGCACCTACATCGCTTTCTGTATGCACCCTGGTCCCATGTACCTGACTAGTGACACACCAACTCTAAATTCGTGCACAGTTGATATTCGTGGCCCGAATTTAAGTCTCGGCCTCTGCTGGTGCGCTTCCGCAAGCTACCAGAAGTGCCCATGGAACACAAAGCACTGCAACCTTGCAATGGGTTCAATCAGGATTGGCAACGACAGGCACCGTCTGCATGGCAAGCCAAAACGAAAACCAGAGCACACACAGCGACAGTATGGCATTGACTCAGTGCGCGGCAGACAGCGTGCTGACCGCATTGATGGCCTTGTCGTCCGTAACAGGCGCAAACGTTTCCAGCCGTAGGATAAACATTGCCTGGTCAGCAAGTTCTTTGTGTGCTGGGGCTTGCAGCTCGTTTTGGTCTGGGTCTTGGCTATTGATTGCCTTGTTCCCGTGCGTTGTGCCACCAAGATGCCTTAATTGTGTTTGGAGCTCGATGTTCGCCGACTTTTTGCACAAGTAGGTCTTTGGTCTGCTCTACTCCTACTCCGACGTCCTGCAGCCCAAGCAGATATTAGAGATTAGAAAGAGGCTGCATGCAGCAAGTGGTTCATGAAACGTGAAAGGTTTGCCCCCGCCCAGGCCCCTACCTGCTGCATTGGATCTTGTCAGTAATATGCCAGACTGCTACTCGAACCGACTGACCTGGACGATTCGCGGTTTAAGCCGAAATGCCGAAGCTGCCGCTGCGAGCAAGCTCAGCAGGTCTCCGACGTTGGGGTCGACCCCAGCAGCATCATCCATGGCGACCAACAAGGTCCCTAGGAATGCTGCGAGCGCCGACAGCCAGGCTGAAAGGGGAACTGCCCGGCCAAAGATGGACCAAGCAAAGAAAGGGACGAGCTTCACGTTGAGGTACAGCAGGAGGCCGCTGCGTTGCGCCGTGGTATACAGAAGCCCCGCTGCCTGTAAGCAAAAGCCCAAAAACAGCCAAAAGCCTAATTCTGCACCGGCTCGCCACTCGAGCCGGGCCCGTACACCTTGACGCTCCGGGCGAGCAACCGGCAGCCAGGGCGAGAAGCAAAGCCCCGCCAAGCCAAAACGAACCAGATTCAAAGATGCAGCCTGAAGACTGTCGTTGGCGCCCTGCTGCAGGGTGTACTTGATGATGGAATGCTGGGAACCCCACAAGACTGTTACCACCCCCAGTAAAACGATTGCAGCTGACTTAGTGACTTTTGATCGCCGTCCGCCAATACTCCTCTCACTGTCCGTCAGTCGCCAGAAGTCAGCAGTGCTCTCTGGAATGCTGCCTGTAGCAGTGGAGTTCTCCGAGACCACGGCTTCTGAGAAGTCCGCCAGTGTCTCCTTCATGACGTCTTGCGCTTGTGCCCGCCGGCTCGTATGCCGCGTTGGCACGAGGTTGCAGCCGTACACAAAGGCTGGGGGAAGCCTCGAGTAGGCCCAGGTCCAGCCCAAGCCCAGGATCACTAAGGCTAGAAGGAAGCCTCGAGACCGTGGCTTGAGGGACCGCTGCCATGGCATCGCAGTGATCAGAATCAACTGCACAGATCTAATCCTCTTGCATATGGGTTGACTGGGATGGTCCACATTGACACATGCCCTGGCGAGGATAGAATCGACTAGCCATACTTCGCGGTGGTGATGACACTCACGATCTCGTGTCCTTTGTATACAGTACGTAACTTTTGGAGGCTCATGTGGACTTCGGCCTTGAAGTCCCTGGTAAGGGCTACAGCAGCTGCAACATAGATTCGAGACCGTCCATTGATCTGCGATGTGTTATTGTCTCGTGCTCGCTCTTCGACTCGTGCAAGTGCAGCTAGCCTGACTGAGAGACCTTTCCGCAGAATCGGATCCCCTTTGCTGACGGAGCTCTGGCGGTACAGCAGGAATATGCCTTGGGCACTTTCCTAGATTCTGGTGCTCAGGGCCAGCAGCAGCCCTTGCTGCCTTGCGGAAAACATCTCTGCCCGAGACTTTTATCCGGCGCCAGGGGCTCAAACATCACCTTGGCCATGCATAACTCTGCACAGGCGGCAGAAGCGCTCGGCGGACGAATGTACAGAAGCGGAGTGGCTTTCTGCGGGACAAACCCAGCTGCAGCCAGTCTGTTGCATCGGGCCAAGCTCAGGGTCAAGCTCTGCAGCAAGAGCGAAAGGTGCGTGCGTCAAGTAGCACACTTAGTACACTCTTAAACCGGGTTCCTACAAACAAGCACACGCTTGGAGAAGTGAGAACTGCACCTTTCGCACAAAAGCTGATGCCTCACCTCGATCACGCTTTGCTATGAGCAAAACGATCTCTTCTTGAGCTCGAAAACCGATCCACCCCGCACACCAGAAAAGCGTTGCCCGGTCAGATTCTCATGCAGCACATCGAGCTTTTCGTTCAAAACTGAGCATTCTAGAAGCAACATGTGCACGTCGATGCCTTTTGCCTCCCCCTTCATCCGCTCGCATCCAGCGATAAATTCCTGAAGCGAGATGTCTCCAGAGCCATCTCGATCGAGGAGCTCTGCAAGCAGCGAGGCATCGCCTGGCCGGAACCCGATCATGTCGAAGTAGGCCTGATTTTGGGGTGTCATCTCTGGGCTTTCGAAACTTGAGATCAGCAACCTTCCTTGGCTACAACCGCTGGCCAGGCCAAGCTGCGCTCATTACGGGATCCTGCAACAGGCACTGTATCTCGTCGAGGCTTATGGCCCCGTCACCTTGGCTACCAGCTTTCCGCACTAGGGAAACCTGCAAGGAAAGAAACGGAACACCTTAGACACTCAGGCGCCAGCCATTCATGTCAGTCGCAACGAAAAACTCAATGATTTGATCCAAGCTGGTGCGCTTCCTGTCAATCGTCTCTTCCTCCGGACAGAAGCACATCTGGAGTCTGCTTCAAGCTTCTGGTTGGAGACAGCCAGGAAAGGCAAGCCAAGTGTCGATTTGAATCTTGCGTTGCTTCTTGGAATTCTGCACGGCGTTGTCAACAAAGACACCTCAGTTTGACTATGCCAAATAGCAGTGGTGAGCTTCCAGGGCCACCTCTCCAGCATTTCCATGCCCAGCCCAACAGCCGAAAGGCCTGTGAACACGTTCATCAAAGCCAGGATCGTGAAAATGATGTACGCAAACATCAAGCAGAAGGATAGCCTTGAGATGCTGTGACATAGGCGGGTGCAAGCCGGCCGAAGCTGACACTGAAACTGTAGCTGGTATTTGTGCACATTTCCTTCCCTGAGCCTTGAATGGCAATGTATGCCCCATGTAGATAAACCAGTGATAGACCCACATAGTCTCCCCAACGTACACCAACAGCAGAATGGGAAACCCATGAACGCCCAGGAAATGCACATCCACACCATCGCACACGTACAGACACACTGACATCCAGTGATCAGACATCCATCCATCCAGCCAGCGAGCCAGCCAGCCATCCACACACAGACACACATGCACCCACACACACATACATACATACATACATACATACATACATACATACATACATACATACATGCATGCATGCATGCATGCATGCATGCATACAGAAATACATACATGAATACAGAATACACACATAAATACATACATACATAGATACATAGGTACATACATACATACTTGTACATACATACATTTTTACATTCATACATACATTCATACGTACATACATACATACATACTACATACATACTACATACATACATACTTTGCATACTTTACATACATTCCGCACATGCCATTCCATTCCATCCCATTCGATTCCATTACCTTACCGTACATTACGTTACATCCATGGCATGCCATGAAATATCATACCGAACAGTGCCATAACGCACCATAGATACCTATCCACATACACACGTGCCTACATACACACACACACACAGACACACACGCCTACAAACCGACATACCTGCAATCCTACATGCATATCTACCTACAAAGTCAAACGCCCGCCAACATGGGGCATGCATGCATGCATATAAACAAACAGACCAATAGATGGGCAGGCAAGCAGAGAGGCAAAGATGGATGGATGGATGGATGGATGAAGGAAAGACAGAGAGAGCGAGAGAGACAGAGAGCGAGAGAGAGAGAGAGAGAGAGAGAGAGAGAGTGAGAAAGCGAGAGAGAGAGAGCGAGAGAGAGAGAGAGGGAGAGAGAGGGAGAGGGAGAGAGAGAGAGAGAGAGAAAGCGACAGAGAGAGAGAGAGAGATAGATCGATAGATCGATCGATAGATGGATAGATCGATGGATAGATAGATAAAGAACGAAGCAAATTTGCATTCATGTATACCTACATGCGCATGCAAGTAATGTAACTGCGTACATTATAATTTTACAAGACCGACCTGACATTTGTTTAGGCATTGTGCCTTGCGTGATATCTAAAGAAATTGAACGGTGGAGGGTTACACGTGTGGTTCGAGAGATGTATGCTCGACTAGATCCGAGCGGCACGTCGACCTGTGCCAAGGCATCGGTCACTTCGTGCCAGCTGATTCCGCCCAGTGTCGTCTGAAATAATGTGTAGACACTTCGGGGAACATTGCCGAAGAAGTGGTGCACGTGCTTGATGCCTGCTGGGGCATGGCTCTCGGATCTTCCGACAAAGATGGGCCTCACTAGCAGCCACTGCCACCAATAAGCTGGGGCAAGAGATACTGTATCTGCTGACGCTTGTCCGCCCCAACAACTGGCCCGAGCGAGCGAGATTTCAGACTCTGTGTAGCTTTGTCCGGAGCTATACAGGAACAAACTCCTAAAGCAACGACACACACACACACGGACAAACAGTGACCGGGGCAAAGGCGGTGTGCGACAGTGACTCAGCCCGCCTTCACCATGAGTACCGGCCATGATTCTCTGTTCCCAGTCTGGCAAATTGTAGTCGACCTCCTCCTTCAGCCAGTCAGTGCAGGAGCTGGTCAGGGTGATCGCAAAGACATACCTCGCAAGACAGACAGCGTCATGAGACAGCCCTAGGCGAGAGCTCGACAGCCTGAGGACATAGGTTCTTTGCACGTGCAGGTGGAGCAGGTCGTTCGTTTGAGAGCTCAGTTGGAGTCGCGATCCCAGGCACATGATCAAAAGGAACATGACCAAGGCCCACAGCAGTTGCTTCACAGAGTCGGCAACCATCAGCGCAAGTGTAGAGAGCTGGCGGAAGAAGCGGAACACTCGAAACAGCCGGACGACACGCAGTATCTTCACAGCCTCAATCTTGTCTGCATCTAGAATCATCAGTGCAGTAGAGGTTGAAAGCAAGGTCGTTATGTGCTTGCATGCCAAACCTACACCCCTCGACACCCGCGCCTAACGTTGGCCCTAGCTTTGTGTGATGGATTCAGGATTGCTATAAGTCGCCTTTTTGTTCGGTACGGGAAGGTTTTCGAGCAATCCTTGCCTTGATCGTGGAAAAAGGCGTCTTGGCATTTCCTGCGAAGAGCAATACCAGTTCCACGATGCTGACGCCAACCAAGCACAAGTCACAGATGTTCCAGAGGTGATCGTCGTTACAGAAGAAGGGGCCAGCACCAACGACGCGAAGCCGCACCAATACTTCCAGAATGAACCAAAGCGCAAAGACAATGCTGAATGTCGTTAAGAGCGTTGAGATTTGCAGGTTGCTGGACATGAACTGGACCTCCCAGCCCAGCAAAACCGAGTTGGCCTCACAGTGTAGTTCTGCAAGCGAACTTCGGAGCGTGACTACAAGGCACACCGAGGTCAGAGCAAAGATCATGAAAGCAGCGACAGCTTCAAATAGGAGCCTTGGACAACCGGCATACGGACTTTCAAGACTGGAGAATTAAGCAAGAAAGGCTAGGGCCAGGGGCAAGGAAAGAAGTGCAAGAAAAGAACAGATGCTGAGGCCTGACTGTGCTTGAACCTTCGTGGCAGGTTCCGATCGCCAGCGATACCAGCGAACGACGGTACACGGTCCCGCCTAGCTTGCCGTAGCTGTTCGGCGGACTAAAGCTTAAGCTCACTACAGAACTGGCAGGCTTCGCTGCACAGTTTTAGCGGGAGCTTTAAATGCTGCCTGACCCTGCAAGCAGCATGCCACACTTGCGAGTCCGAATTCAGGCCACGGACATGTCCGGGCCTACTTCCGGTTCGAAGGTTGGGGCACGGGAGGATGGGCCCTGCAACTGCTGCAAGCTCCTGAACTAAGGGCTACGTAGCCGCTAGCCGCTAGCCTTCCTGTGCCGCAGAGAAGCCAGCGCACTTCGAAAGCTGAGCCGTTTCGATTCTTCTCAGGGCTATCCTCCTCTTTCGATGTCCTTCCCAAGGCCACCTCGGTCCATGAAGGTGTCGACGAGACTTGCCCGGCCCATTTTTCTACGAGCACGCTCCGGCCAAGCCGAGGTGCCTTGAGGAATTCCTCGATCTTTCTGAGAGTGGAAGACTCCTTGAAGCTTTCCAGTTTCGCCTTTGCCACCTCCATTCGTCGCTCCAGGCCGCCCCCGTTGTGTTGGTGAGCAGTAAGGACCGCCATGACTGCATCCTCGTCCCCGCTTGTCATGGCACCTTAGGCCGCTCGCTGGCACGCAGCGGCTTTTAGAAGATTCTGACAGACTCTGACAAAGCCCGACATGGCCAGGGCGCGACTCTTTTCTCGCAGGGAACTTGCAGTCGCTGCGGTTCTCCGAGTTTCAGTGGACACCACGGCCATGGTGGACTTCCGTGAGTAGAGGGCTCCCAGCCCCTGAGTGGTGGATCTCCAAACTTCCGGCTCGTATGCCGGTGTCTCGAGGTCGTTCTGGGACATGCCGGGGACTTCCTGCAGCTGGACAAAGCCAGGCAGCACAGCTCCCCAGTCGTAATACGACTGTAAGCTCACTGATTCAAAAAAAAAAAAGAAACTCTTGCAGGAAATCCTCTGCCGCAGCGCTGTTGTCCGAAGGCTTCGGCTTCTTGCCCTTCCGCTTCTTCTTGATGGATCTGAGTTTAGCCTCTTCGCGGGTTCTGCAAAATGTAAGGGATTTTTGCCTTTCCTCCTGTCCTTGACCTACTTGCATATACCCTGAGTAACAGTCCAAGTTTGCACAGGACAAGAGCAGGAGAGCCGGAGCTGGGCATCTGGCAGCTGACAGGTTCTGAGAACAGCACACTGATACAGAGACACACGAACGCGCAAGCTTTCTCTGCAATTGTCCCATGCCCAAAGCCAAAACCGAAACCCCCTGTACAACTCAAACCCACATTGGTCTAAGGCCCCCGCCAGCTCATGCTCCAACCTGCGCGAAACCTCCACCTCGAGCTCCTGCGGGCTTCGGCTTGTGACTTCCCGACTTCCCGGCCCGGAGCTTCAAGAGAGCTCGTACAGTGCGGGGACTTCGGCCGCCGAAGCTCTGGCACGGTTTTGGGCATCTGGATGGGTATGACCGTGAGAACAGACAAGCATCCGACTCTGCATCGTGCCACCCCTCCTCCAGTATCGAAAAGATCCCCGCTGCTCAGCTGCAACTTATGCATTGTGACCAACACATCTTGTACGCAAGCCCAGGGCAATGCCGAACAGTAAGAGAGGACAGCCTGAAGACAATAGGAAGCCGAATCTCCTTCCAACCCACAGTGGAGCTTAGGTGTGGGCTAGGAAGCGGTTTCCCGTCGCATGGAGGATACCTCCACTCCTCCGAATGTCTGTCAGCAAGGCAGGAGATCTCGTGCTGAAGCTCTGCACAGCGGCTCTGCACCTCCAGGCAACACTGAAAGTCTGGAGATACGCAGTGGCGCAGCCGCTGCGAGCAGTGCCTGCTCCAGCTGCTCTTTGAAGATCAACACACTCTCAGCCGACAGGCGTGTGTCCGGAACCTCGGAAATGCCTCAGCTGAAATTTGTAGATACAGGAAATTAGGGCGCAGTGCTACACGCTTCAGGCATGCAGCCCACTCGTTTTCGGACTGCGTGCTCATCATGACTATCGCCATCTGAGTTGGCCATGAACCGAGCCACAGTTACGTCTTTTGGGGTAAGAGATAAGACCCGTGCTGGCGGAATCGACTAGAAAGGACAGCAGCTGGTAGCTTAAGCAAAATCTCTCCCTCTAGATGTACCACTCTGGGGTTACCCACCAGCCAACGGAACACTCGAGCCACTGCATCAGGTCAATGAATGAATCAACGAATCGCTCATGCACATCGTCATGCAGATGCTGCGGTAGTGGCATGCTTTGGCCGTCCTTGGCCCAAGGCAGGGAAAACAGCCTTTTTTCCATCACGGTCAAGCAAGTTTAGGTGAACGAGTGCAGTTTCAGGCGAGCTCCGCGACAAGTGCTCAAGCTGGGGCTTGGCAGCTTGAAGTCGGAAGTTTTTCCCCATGATCCTGCTTCGGGTTGGCTCTCCGTACCGGAGATCCAGGCAAAAAGCAAGCGGCTTCTGGTGTCGTGCAGTAGGATTCGTGGTGGGACATCCAATCACGGTACCAGTGGGCAAGCTGTACTAAGAATGCACAAGCCGTCCATGAACACGAACCTAGTAATCGCTGTTTGGAATTGGACTGTTAAAGGTGCTCCCGATGGCTCATACCACGTAGATATGATAACATGTGTAGGTCGTGTAGCCATTCGGAGTCGAATTCATGGGTCGGTTAACTGGCTAAGGGCGGGACCCTGGAACTACAAGGGGTTTGCAAGGTGGACAGTATGAGCAGGGGTTGGGATTCTCAAACCCAAGAGTTCGTGTGCGAGTTAGACTGCTTTCCCAAGCCCGTTCCCAAAGGTTTCCTGGCTGCGACAAGAGGGCTTGAAAGAAGCATCATTGAGCTTTCCAAAACTATATAGGCACCTGGTGGCACCTGCTAACTACTTGTTTCACGCGGCATCGATGTCGAATATGAGCGGAAGAAAGCGAAATCGGCTTGCCACTGGGCCGACAACGGGATAAAGCACCCTATGGCAACCTTGCGGGGAGGGCTGAGGAGCCAGCCTCACCCTTGAACAATTGAAAATTTGGCGGATTACTATGGTTGTTACAGGCTGATCAGCAGGCGTTGGCATTGATCACCCAACTTCCTTGCGCCGGCTGCACCCGAGCACCGAGGCTCACTGCGTTCGCACACGTCACCCGGCAACACACGGCTTGCAATGCGTCCCAGCTGCTGGGGTGAAGTTTCATGCAGCGACCAGACACGACGGAGCGGCTCTTCGCCTAAGGGAAGAGTGTGCTTGAATCTGTTTAGAATAATGATAGGTCCAGCTCCGTATGCTCTAAACTGTAAGCTGTATGTCTTGAAGGTCAACACCTGCCCCACGTTTGTGGCAACTAGGTCTAGGTCCGTAATGTCCACTCAGTCTAAGTCTACCCTCAGCATCCCACGCAACATCTGCACAAATGCAGGACCAAGGCCTGGTCCTGGTCAACATCCGAACAGCATCAAAAAGCAAGCTATTCATTGAACCTTACACCTACCGTATGACTCGAGCGACCCTGAGCAAGTAAGACTGACTTGTGCCCAGATGCAACTGCAAGATGCACATTTCTCCGCGTCTAACCTGACAACGAGTTCTGCAGACATGGCACAACACGCACAATAGGAACATGGAAAACAGCTTCCACGCACGCCTTGTGGCTCGATCCACTTCCCGACACATATGAAGACACAAACACGAGAACTGACAGCAGCATGTGTAAGCTGGTCGTCCTGTCGATTGAGACTTGAGACATCCCAACACTCGGCGTGGACCCGAGCTACGCGTACTGAGGACCCACTCCTTTCATATTTCATCTCTTGGTTCTTCAGCTTGTGGGGTTTTCGTATTCACCGTCATCCTTGACTGGCTCTCCATGATCGTAATGACCTGTCTCTCGCTGCTTTTTGATGGAATCTTCACTTCTTCTCTTCTTTCCACTCTTCATGCATGCATACTCGGAGGGGTGTCATTTCCTGCGCCTGGCGGAGACCAGTTTGGCAATAGAAGGGCACTTCTGCTCATTACTGCCCTCAATCAGAACCGATGTCGTGAATCTCTGCATCCGGGATCCTTATGCTGCAAAGCTTCACACTCCGACATGGCATCCTGAACCCCAACCATGACCGCTAAACCTGCAACTTTTGTTGGCCGGCTTTATCCTGGCGTTGAGCGTTTTTGCCAGTTTTACCGCGGCAGGTTTCGGCACATGGTTTAACCTTCCCCACAAGGTCTGCACTTATTTTATAAGATGTGTATCGGCGGTGACAGTGCGCTGCAACTCATGCACCAGGCAAGGGCTGGACTGCGCACCATGTATAAGACCATGTGCCGGGGTCGCAATCGCAGAAACGCAACATGCAACTCACATCACTTCCGCTTCCCTCCCCACGAGCCGCGGACTTGCGACCAGAATAAACCCCTGCCACCTGCAGGAGCAGTGCGCATGCGCCCAATGCAGCCAAAAGGAAGAGCGTTTCGGCTCCCTACGCTGCAGAGCATTTCTCCGGCTACACATCCGTGGCCTGCTCGTGCACAACAGAATTCTTCGAAGACTGGCTGCACATAGAGCTCTCCGAGTTGCTTGACAGGTATCTCCTGGAGACAGACTTTCCGGAACGTTTGAAACCGCCCCAGTGTTTTGCAGGCAAGCTGCTGCACTTCTGGACCCCACGGGGTGTCCTCACCACTCCACAGAAACGTCGAGTCAGACAGTACTGACTTTATGAAGACTGAACTCCATGGGTTGAAGTCCTTGCAAGGAGGGTCGGCAAGCAGCTCTTCCATCGCCTGCTGCTCCGTGTATGTCTTCTCCATCCTGCTGCAGTCTCGAACACAGAAGAAGGCAATAAGATCGGTCAGGGCAGCGGAGGGCAGGGTAAAAAAAGGGCACAGGGCGGAGCAGGGCAGGGAGAAGTTCCAACGCCGGCAAAATTTCGAACTTGACCAGCTGCACTCCGCTGTAAGCAAGATCGAGCAGGCATGACGGCCACCCAGCACGACGACGAAGAAAGGCACATCATGTACTTGCGTTGAAAGCACCACGAAGCATCAAGCACTAACCTAGCACCTAGGGTGGTCACCACCTCAAGGAACCCGCACTGCAGCCACTACAACCGCCACCACCACCGCCACAGGCGAGAATCATCCCTGACTAGCGATCAGGATCTACGTTTCCGAAGAACTGATGTTTGCCGCCGGATGCCGCCGGGTTGCTCGAGATTGAACATCCGTCTCTTCTCACTTGCATAGGATGTCTTTTCCTGTCGCTGTTGTCTCTTCCTTTCCTCGGCCGGCCAATCAGGTGAGAGGCACGCTGCAAGCCAAACGATTTTGGCAGTCCGCACATCAAACCCTTCGATTTTGGTCAAGCTGCCTTGCGCGCCTGGCAGGGCGGCCAAATGTCCCGACGAAACAAGTTTGTACATCTTCCTACTCGTTTGAGGATTTTGCACCAATCGAGGGTCATGTGTCTGGAAGAGACAATGGACCACATCTACGAGAGGATGCGCATGCGGCCCTCTGCCTGGTAGGATGCCTCGGGCTGACCGGAAGCTGAAACGCAGGCTCTTTCCAAAATGGATGCGGTGGCATCTCACAACAACTCAACCATTAGGGCCATTCGAAATATCGGGAAGCAACGGACATGCGGCCCTGCTGACTGCCAAGACACGAGCTTCTCTTCCAACGTGGGTGCTTTCACAGCTGCGCTTTTCCGATCTTGCTCGCCGCTGGACATAACCATATAGTATTCGCCAGATGAGTTGAAGGAGTTGCTCTCGCGTTGGGCCAGCGGTGCAGGTGGGGCTGCGTATCCGCCGAGGTCTCTAATGATGACACTTGTCGCCATAGCTTGCGGCTAGCTGATGCTGGTGAAACAAAAAGTGGCTATTTCAGCAGCAAGAAAGTTGGACTGGATCGGCTCCAAATCGTGCAGAGGTACCATCATGCCACATGACACCTTGTTCATGTATGCCAACAGTAACCGTGCCAAATGCCAGCTCTCACTCGGTCGAGGTTCGCTCGCCGAGAGGAGTAGCAAAGCTGGCACCTTGCACGCTAGCTACATGACCTGTAAGCCAAGAAAGTGTGAACATGGTTCGTTCCAGAGCGCTGTGTTATCTACTGTTTGCTGATAACCCATAAAACCAGGTTGGAACCAAAGCAAAATGACACAGAGTGGCAGCCTAGAGCACTTGATCCAGATCATCCATTTTTTCGTCTCCGGCAGGCAATGATGCAGGGTACAGAATGGTTCTTAAAACCGGTAACTACCATACAGGCCTGCCATGTTGACAGCAACTGCAGCAGTACACCAGTGCTATTTACAGCTCGCTTTGGCTGTCAGACAGCAAAATTCCAACAACTTGCGGCAATGCTTTCCCATCCTGCAATCCGGCACTTCGAATCGGCAAGAATCCAGACGGTGGGTCAAAGGCAAATCGTCCATCCAAACGGATACCCAGCGTGCCGGCAAAACCCCAGGCGGGCAGCCAGGCTGCGCTGGCATCGATGGAGACCTGTTCTGTGGCGACTCCATCGACTGTGAATGCTAGCAGCCCATCCTTAGCTTCGGCCACTGCTTCTTCGTGTCAGCAGCAAGACATTTCGGTCGCCAAGCGGCATCCAAGTTCAGCAGCACACCGAGAATTGCATGTCCCGGAACAGTCCTAGCATAACAGCCATGAACAACGGGAACACGTCGAGCAGACCAACACGTAAGCATTGCCAGGGAATCACGAGCAGCCGTACGAGCACCTGTCCTTTGCTGCACCAGTTTTCCTCCGTGCCATATGCCGTCTGCAGCGAAGGCCCAACTGGCCTCATGACCTGTCTCAGTTGCACTGTCAGTCAGATCTGGTCCTTGTTGCTGAAGACTTCTGCGCCTTTCCATGTGCTACGTAGCCCGCCTCCAGGCTGATGGGTCAGGCCTGACTCCAGCTGCAGTACACCTGCGCCACCCGCAATCTGTCAGTGACAAGCGGCTAGCCGGATCGAGATGCAGATGCACAGTGCACCTATCCGATAGCTCGACGTCTGCGGCCCAATGACAGTCTCGAAATACCACTTGCCCGCTGTGCACGCGCACAGCGAACTAACCACCAGACACTGCTCGTCTGCCGTGGCTTCGAAGGTGCCAGTGCCAACTCCTGGAGGACACGGGGCTCAGGGCATCTTCCGGCCGAGCGCTTTCTGATGACGCACATACGCACATTGCGTGGCTGGAGCTTTCTTTCGTCTAGGGCTCCGTAGCCTCTCTGGAAATTTAGGTAGCCTGTCTGCTGCTTCCATCGCAGGTTTTTCCTGGTTGATTTTTCCAGCCAGCCCCGTGCAGTGGCCCCTAGTCGGCCTCGCCGCGAAGCCTCCACTCACACAACATAGCAGAGCCGTGCCCACTGACATTCTGAGTCTGATCGCTTCGGCATGTCCCCAACACAGTTCTTCAAATGCCCCTGGGCACCACCGCCTTCCTGATCACGATTTACTGGTTCCTTCGTTTTTGTGACATGGTGCTGAATAAAGCCCGCATGTCCCCGGATGAAGCTCACACACCTTGACGGCGGCCAGGACTTGAAGCATCGTGTTGGACAGACTTGACATGACACTGCAGTCTTTCACACCGTTTCATGCTGAGTCTCAAGAAGTGCAGGATGTACACACGAGCCCGCTACCGCAACATGGCGACGGTGATCGTCGGTATTCGGAAGGCCACGGCTTTATCCCCAATGCCCTTCAACTTATTTGTTCGTGCCCCTGGTCGGGGAAAACCAGGACCTGTGCAGCCATGACCAAACACATGTTTATGGATCAACACCAAGACACACCGGAAGAGCGGCCGATATAAACCCGATAAAACCCGAGCATGAACAGTCGCAGGACGGCACCACCCTCCTCGAACTTGTGTGGCCTCACCGACAGTAGGCTCCAGAACCCCTCCGGCTTGCGACTCCACTGGAATCAAAAAGGGAGGGATTGTCTTCGGTGCCCAGCCACAAACACCTGGAACGGAAATCCGATGCATGGTAGCACGATGCACACATCTAGCCGTGCATCCTCACATGTAGTTGTCGACAGCAAGACGTGCCACAACAAGTTGCTAGTCGACCGCGATTGCCCTCTAACCAGCTGCCAACCAAGGAACCTTGACAGCAACAACAGCCATTCGGGGCATCGACCAATCCTGACTTGTTCGATAAGGGCAGGCGTGTCCCGGGGCGGCAAGAGGGGAAGCAGCGGAACTGCTATGTTCCTCTATGGTGAGCCTGATAAGAATTTCAAGCAGGACAGCTTGGAATGGAGATCCTGTCGCCGGTCCTGCTTTGATTAGCTCGTGGACATTCAGCTCGGGGAACTGTAGCCACTGCAGCCGAATCAAGGCCGCGCGCAGAGTGGAAACCGCAGACAAGGCGACTAGAAGCATCGCGGCGAGGCCAAGCCGCAGGTCTATGTACTGACACCTTCTGGCGCGTCTTTTGGAAACTTCATAAATCAAGTGACTGGCTAACAAAAAAAAGGTAACCTCGAGGTGCGGCTTCCCTTTAGCTTTTGGAAGTCTTATCCGTTTCGGAAGCCACCTGTTGTCATTGAGGCCAAGGTGCACGGCGATGGAAAAGTTGTGGCTGCCATGCAATATCATAGGCAGCATCGGGGTTAAGATAAAGGACGGGCAGCAGCGTTGCTTTAACGAAAACCGCTGCTCCGAGAGGAAGGCACCATGCAGTAGACCATAAATCAAGTGGTTTGGCACGGCCGTCCCCGCTCGCAGAAAAGCTGTAGCAAGGCTGCCTGTGCCCACATACAAGACATTCTCCAATGCCGCGAAGCCAAGACCTGCGCAGCCACCATAGCAACACAGAGCCATAGGGTCGGCAACAAACGGAAACCAGAGGATGCGACGAACGCAGACATACTTCAGAAGTTCCTCGAGAAAAGCCGTCATCAGGTACGCCTGGATAGCACGCTTGCCGAGGCAATCCACCTCAACCTCCGAAGACAAAGATGCTGCTGCTACTTCTTCGCAGTCGCTAACCCAATCTCGCCATCCAAGTGGGAAGTAGATGATCAAAATTATGCTAACGAGGGGAATCAGCCAAGCAATCGCTTCGAAGAAGGAGATTGCCATTTGGGACAGCTTTACGGATTTCTGGAAGTAGACTTGAACGAAAGATCCAAAGACCAGCACTGGCACAAAACTAAGCAGTGCAAGGCCAAGGGGTGGCAGCAGCACATAGGGCAGCACGCACAGAGCCGTGCAGAATGCCAGGGTGAAAAAAATAGAGGCACCCCAGCCCAAGCAGGAGCAGGTGAAGAAGCTCGGCGGCAAAGGCTCCACCTGGATGCCGGAGAGCGGGAACACCTCGCCGACTTCATACCACGTGGTAAGGGCAGTACCAGGTTCCCAGTCCTCGAGCGGAGTGCGCACCCAAAGACGTTGGCCAAATGACCTCAGCTCCACGAGGGAGTTGGGCGGCACGCCGGGGCAGGCCGTCAGCGTGTGGGTGAGGCCGTGCTGGCCGAGCTGTCGATCGCTTAGCTCGGGCCCTACCCAAAGCCTCTCTGGCGATGGGTGCACTGAGCCTACCAGGGCCTTTGCCTCTCCATCTCTCATTCAGTCGGTCTTGTGCCGGGGGAGCGGTTCGAGAAGCTTGCTAATGGGCCTGAGCCATCCAGATCAACCGGCCTGATTATCGTCAATCACGCCCTGTCCAAGTGCTTGTACTAAGTGTGACTATAGATTAGCCAACTAGAAAGGCTGCTGCTGCAAGAAGCGGCCCGCGCGCAGGCGGGTGGGTGTGTGAGTGAGTGTGAGAGTGGGTGTGGGTGTGGGTGTGGGTGTGGGTGTGGGTGCGGGTGTGTGAGTGCGAGTGTGAGTGTGTGTGAGTGTGTGTGAGTGTGTGTGAGTGTGTGAGTGTGTGTGTGTGTGTGTGTGTGTGCGTGTAGCAGGCGTCGAAACACTGGCCCGTGCATTTTAGCCTGGTCATGGCTCATGCCAGCATATCCCTAAAGTCCACCTCTTTTGCTCACAAGCGCGGAGGTTCCGGCTCTATGGCCACCACGATGACAGTAATGTCATCCAAGTCAGGACATTCGGCTTCCCATGCGCTCTGCGCATGCCGGACCAGTGCGCAGCTCACTTGATCCAGGTTGCCTCCACGCGTCACCTGCGTTGTTTGAAGCTGTCTGCCCACGAGCTCCGCCGCCTCATCACACGGGGTGAAATCCCAGACGCCATCGGAGGCAGCAACCAAAAACTGCTGCTTCAAGCCGTTCTCCGGCTGCTGGCTCCCTGCACTCTCCAGGAAAACCGTAGCAACGTCAGGTACGTGGGAGACGCCGACGGCATGCAGCTTTGCATCTCCCAAGCTCCTAGACATGTTCAGTCCGACATACGGCCACTCGTCTAAATAAACTCTCTGGCGTGCGACAATGCCACCCAACTGTTCGATACGCAATCGCTCGTCCGGGTCTTCCGGCTTGTGGTCACGCGTAAGAATGCGACAGTCGGCCTTCAACTCGCCCGACTCTCCCTGCCTCGTGCTCGCGCCCACAGGAAGCGTTCCCAGAATCATCCGCGAGTCACCCACGTTTGCAGTGTGCAGCAGCCCATGCGCACAAAAGGCCAACGTGCAGGTAGCGCCGCTGTAACCACGCGGGCCCCAGCCGGTTTCGGAAGCTTTCTGCATCAGCTGCCCAATCTTCTGGAAAGCCGCTTGGATTGCGGAGAACACCGTCTGCGGATCAGAAGGAATCAATCGTCCTGCGTCAGTCGCCAGCAGTGGCTCCCTCAGGATCAGCAAAGGCAGCCACTGCATGCCCAGTGCTGACATCTCATGACCCAACGGTCCATGGCCATCCAAGACGCAGGCACACCATATCGGAGATCCGTCTGAATCCACAAAATGAAAGTAGAAAGCAGAGTCTTGGTTGGGCTGCAGCTTGCTGCCTTTCTGGGAAACCATGCCCACAGGAAGCAGACCCCTCTCCTGTGCTGGCCCCGAAGGCTCACTCCGGAGGGCTAGGACCTCCTTTCTCGGTAGGTGTGGCGCAGGACCAGGCCCTTGTTGATCCGAGGTGTACAAAAGAACAGCCTTGTGAGAAGGCTGGAAGAGCACACCCATCAACGATGTCCAGTCCAAGGCTTCTGGCACTCCTTTCGCAAAGCGCTCTGCCGGCAATGTTGCATTGGAATTGTTTGCGCCCATTTTGCGGATCTTCAGGCGGAATGTGACAAATTTGCTGCTGAGACTCGCTGATTAAACTGGCTTGTCGGTTTACCTGCAGTAAACTCGGGCGCTTGTTGTATGCCTTTTCATGGCAGAATGGCTTTGGCCTCTAGATTCCGGACTGGCTGCTATTGCGACTCTAGGCCAATCAGGACCTGCATGTGCCTGTTGTTCTTTCCGGTGCACTCTTTTGAGACAGCTGTCTTCAAGCAAGTCAACATCAGAAGAAACAGCTGTTCACTACACGCCTAAAGCACTTCTGTTCGCCCGGCCGTCGAATCGGCACGAGCTGCCATGCTCGATCCAAGGGTCAAGTGAGGTACTCACAATCCCTGTACTCATCTGCTTGACCCTTGTTGCTGGCATCATATTCATGTTACTCTTAGCGTGCAAGAAGATCAAAGCGTTCGTTGCTTTTGCTCTCATCGTTTGGCAAGCCAAACGAGCTTCTCAGCTTCGGAACGGGCTTCCTCTTAAACTCACCGGCAAGGTTCTTGAACATCTCTCAAGTCGATTTCAAGGCGGAGTTTGATCCAATTACATGTGCTTAGCATCTCCAATTCCTCATGCAGCCTTCCGGCCTTTTTCGAGCCGATCAACAACCAGTGGAAGGATGCCGCGCTTTGGCTGCATCCTGGAGAGTTCCCAGACTGCAGGGCTCATCGCCCATGCGGCTCCCCAAAGCACCGACGCCGGTGCTCAGCCATTAACGTTCCTGGAACGAACTCCCACAGAGAGGCATGATGTCCCAAGAATTTGACTGCCAGTCGTGGTATAACACCACCCGAATACTGTCATGCATGTCTAAGCAAAACGCCGGATTCAAACTACAAGAAATTTGCTGGGACAGCCGGTGAGGAAACTGCACGACGTCTGACAGCTGCTCACTGTGCCGAGCACGCAAAGGCACACGGACACATCGTGTATGTAAGGGTGTTTGTGTGTGTGAGTGTGTATAACCGTAACCAGGCCCAGAACATCCCAGAACCACCAAAACAAGTTTGTGCAGCCTCCGTGGGATCATCAAATGCCCAGCACCTCGTAGAGGCACCGACCAAAGCGCAAAGGAGGATGCGAAACTCTAATCTTCACACATGAGGGTGCGGGCTCCAAATCTCCGATGATAAAGCTAGTCTCGCAGGAAAGAACCTGCAAGATGCGCTGGCAACTACCCCGGTCTCTGCTTAGTCGAGCTTTGTCGGCGAAGCCTCCGAGTTGAAAGTCGTGGAAGGATCGCTTCTTCCATGCAGGAGGTCCTCGCGGTGTGGTGCTGGTTGCGGTGATTCGGCCACCCAGCACCCCTGACCTTCTCCACATACAGCGCAAAGCCAGAGCCGCCGCCCATGGCCAAGCACCTCTAGTTGGCTGTGCTAAATCTAGACTGTAATGCACGAACGAATAAATCATGATAAGAGAGAGAGGTATATGTTATGTCGTATGTATGGTGAGTACACGGTCCAGGGGAAAAGGCGCATGCATGTGCATGCGCCGAATTCGACGGACATGCATGCACTCTAACCTGGGGCCGAAGCGTCGAATCAGAGAAAAGGAAGAAACCATCTCCCGATGGGTCGTGGTGGAAAACCTTCGCAGCACGAAGTGCGGCTGTGGGCTCTGAAGAAGGCCAGGACCTAGGCCCGGGCCTCAAGTTCCAAGTCCTCCCAAGCACCCCAACTCGAGAGGATCCTCTGTGCGCTCTGCGCAACTCCCCAGCCTGGTCCTCGGGTTCTTCCTGTTCTTGGGCTGCCTCCTGAAAACATAGCACGCAACGACAGACTAAGTAGCTCCCAACTCGCCTGCAGGTCAGAGTTCGGGCCTTCTGTCTGCCCCAGGCCGACTCACTCTCAGGACATTATCCTTTTTTCGCTCGTGCTCCTGAATCACTCAAAACTTGCCAGAGCAAGAAGCCTGTTCCAAATCAACAATGCAAAACACTCCGTCGGAACATAGCTGATATGCAACATTTCCCTCAACACCTCAGCTGAAAATGAGCCTTTCGTTCGATTGATGCTCTTATCTTCACTCCATCCAAACAAGAGCCAACAGGTCACATCCCGAATTCTCACATGCACAGGCACGGCAGGTCTCTGCCGTAGCCATGTTTGGACTCTCGCCACTCGGACAAGTTTCGGCTCTCACACTCGGACAAGTTTAGGGTCCTAAGTTTCGGGGTTGCAGCAGGGCCTTCGACTCTCATGCTCGGAGACGGCAGCCAAGGCGTGACGGGGTATCTTGGTCAAAGTGCCTTCTTGCTGCGTCTTGCGGTCGGAACTTGACACCTCCGACCCTCCACACTGTCACTCATCACCATCTTTGTCCGGATTCATGGGATGTTTGGGTTCTACAGCGTTCTCTACAAAATCACACAGTCGGCCTCGGCAGCAGCAGCTGCGGGTCTCGGTGGCGGCTCAAGCGGAATCGCGCCCGCACCCAGGATTTCGTCAAGAGCCTGTGACAAACACCATATCGATTCATCCACAAAGCGAGCTACAGCTCAACACAGCCATCCAGCTTTTCGGAAATGAGGTCCTCTGTGGCAGAAGTGATGCAGTCGCTCTGCAACACCTGGAAACAAGGCGGCGAACCACTCGTAGCTCTACCCGATACACCCTCCGCAGTCTCGACCTCCGGGTTTCACAGCACAGACGGGCTCTCAATATCCGCAATGATGGCAGTATCTATACGTGCAAGCGGGCACACACACACACGTGTCGTGGATGATGATGCATGCCTACAGTACATAGATGCATCATGACATATTTGGGATGCGTATGTGGACAGAGAGAGAGAGAAAGAGAGACAGATTGGCCTTGCAGGGTGGTGGGGGCCACATGCATAAACATAAACATTGGCGCGGACATGTATGCATAAATCAGTAAGCAAATACAAATACAGGTGGGCATGTATATATACATATATATATATATGTGTGTGTGTGTGTGTATATGACATATGTGTATGTATCTATACTTATACGTGCATACATACAGACACCGATGCAGACACGCGAACGGACAGCCAAACAGACAGACAGACAGACAGACAGACAGACAGACCGACGGACAGACAGACGGACAGACAGACAGACAGACAGACAGACAGACAGACCGACGGACAGACAGACCGACGGACAGACAGACAAACGGACAGTCAGATACAAGTGATATATATATATAATGTACATACATGCATACATGCATATATATATATATATATATGTCTGTGAGTATGTTTGTATGCGCGTATAACAATACATGTATGCATTATCTGTTGGATCGCCAACAATGCCGAGATGTCGGATCCCTGTGACAGCTGATGCCCTTTGCTCGTCACGTGAATGCAAAGCTCAAAGACCAGAAAACTTTCACAAGAATTGTCCCTGTGAGCCGGCACCTAGACTTACACGGACCTATACTTTAACTTAAGCCACCAAGAAGATATGCTGTGAGGGCCCCAAAAGACGACGGTCACGAGGGGCCGATCTTTGTGACGGCAGCCAACGAAGATAATCGAACCCGACTGCTTTTCCGAGGAATGCGAGCAGCGAACAATAACACATGCACCGGCACCGTTGTCGAAGACATAGTGACCACGGCGCACCACGATGACCACACCACAAGGGGGTCAGCGGGGATTCACGAGACCACACGACGGAGAAAGTCTTGAGATTTCACAGGGAGTTCCGGCAGGGCGTGTCGTGGTTACCGCACGTCCTGCTGATGTCTGTAACCTGTGGATGTCCGGCTTACTATGCGTCAGTTGGGGCATGACACCGGTGCCTATGAGGCGGTCTCACGGGGGGCAGCCACACGAGAAAAAAGCGAATTACAACTCGATGGGTGTAAATACAACCAGATGGGTACAAAATGGTACAAATACAACTCGAATCTCTGGAAATTGGTTTAGATGGGTGAAAACACAACCAGATGGGTGATAATACAACTAGGAACTAGGGCCTTCGGTCTTAACCTCTGATCGCCTACATGCCTTTCGGGCCTACATGACCGAAAACATACAAACCGAAATAATTATGTTAGGTATTGCCTACATGCAGCTCGTAGCTCCATGACCGAAAGTATACAGACAGAAAAAATCATGTTAAGCATTGCCTACATGCCGTTCGTACCTACATGACCGAAAGCATACAAACAGAAAAATCATGTCAAGTATTGCCTACATGCCGTCCGTACCTACATGACCGAAAGCATACAAAACGAAATATTCATGTCAAGCATTGCCTACATGCCGTTCGCACCTGCATGTCGAGAGCATACCAACCGAAATAATCATGTTAAGTATTGTCTACATGCCGTTCGTACCTACATGACCGAAGGCATAAAAACCCGAAGAAACAATGTCAAGTATTGCCTACATGCCGTTCGTACCTGACCGAAAGCATACAAACCGAAATAAGCATGTTAAGTAGTGCTTGCATGCCTTTGGTGCCTACATGACCAAAGCATACCGAAATACTAATGTTAAGTCCTCGTTCGTGCTAGGGCGCAGACAGAAGGGACGAATCACAACCAGCTTTACCTAGCCTTGCTGCTGGAACCTTAAGGCTGTACCATGCATTTCTGTAGAGAATGTCAAAAACCTTATTAAGGCAGCGCAATAGCCAGTTGCAATTGCTCCAGTTTGGGCTAGCCCACACTAGTGGCTCAGTTGTGTTTTGCACCGTGTAGCTGTTGTTTCCCCCGTTGGGTTGTATTTCGACCCGGTTGCGGGGGGAAGCCATTCGAAGCCGAATTTCCTATGTATGCAGTACAGGCATGCTGATCCCGACTCTCCAGTCACCGAACACGCTCTGGTAGAAGGTGAGCTGCATCTCGGGCTCCAGAATGGCCGCATTGAACGCGTATTCCCAGGAGCAGGAGCATGAAGCACTGTGGCGAGTGTGAATAGAGATCGGCGGGCAGTGCTTCAAGGGGAGAGGTCCTGGGTTGTGTGTCGTCGCTTCTCCAGCGCCTTGTGGTCGGGGCGTCGGTCTGGGTGGCTCTGAATCTCCACGACGGATGGGTGGAGCTTGCAGCGTTTTCGGTAGTTCTTTGGGCTTGGCCGTCTTTCGCAGTGGTGAGCGCCCCCTGCGGAACTATCGGGGAGCCCTGTAGTCCGCTTGAGCTTGGCTTCTTGTTGTGTCGTCGTCATCACGCACTGTCGGGCGTTTTTGTGGACTCCTTGCTCCCGACTTGGCCCTGGATTCGCGGACGGTGATGTGTTCCGCCTCCTCCTCTACAATGAGGTCTTGAAGGGAGGCTGGTCCCCCCGCCAATTCATTCGCTCCACCTCTGTCGCTCCCCTCTCCCCGTCGGGTGTGGGGGGGGGGGTCAGTTTCTCGGAGGGGCCGCCAGGTCTGCACAGTACGATCTCGTGCTGCCACACTCGACATATCTTCGTGCTTTATACTTCTTTCTTGTGGACGTGTCGATTTAGATTGGACTGGCAGGGAGTGCAGCTGTCCAGTTCATGAGCAATTCAATATATTGTGAAAATTCCAGCGACATCTTCCACTCCGACGACAAGTTCGAAGCACATAATTTAGATGCACCGTGCTTGAGGCCTCTATGGTACAGGCGGACAGCACATACAATCACTTCAGGCCAAGCTTGAAGCAAAGCACAATGGCAGAGCACGAGAACAGGAAGACCAACACTCGAAAATCGACAGCTACCTTACCCGTGTGCCCCTGTCTGCCCGGCCTCGCGCTCCGACTTCTGGGCGTGTTCCTTCACCTGCAAAGAGCTTGGGAGAGCTTCTTTCGGCTGTGGAGAGTGTCTATCCTGGCCACGCAAGGCAAGGCCTTGGGACGCCAGGATTCCAGAAGCTTAACAGCCTGGCACAAGGACCAAGCCGAGCCAGAGCCGTCGCTTCAGCTCCTTGTAAACCACCGCCTCGTCCACCGCTCGCTGCGCAGAGTGGCTGGTGTCTGCGAGAGGGGGCTTGCGAATGAAGCATGGGATAACAACATATTGGCTTTTCATAGCTGCCATCGATACCAAAAGCTGCCAAAGCTGCCTCCTGCCTGACTTGGCTTCAGGCGTGTTGGCGCTCAAATGCTGCATCCTGAAACTGCAAGTCGCTTCCGAAAGCGGTGGGCCCAACGTGAACGAAAGCAACGACTCTCCTTCCCATGCCCTCTGCATCCACTGACAGTGGTAAGTGAAACGTAGGAGGGGATTGGTTGCTCACGGCTCGACGGCTTCACGATGCTTGACGGGTTCGACTGAACGGGTCTCGTTCTAGGTCATAGGCTTTCGCAGCCATACCACTAACACGTAGAGCCATCCCTTTCCGAAGCAAAGGGCTCACCCACATGGCTACCTTGCCTCTCCTCCGCTGCCCCAGCACACCAATGGCTTGTTCCCACAAGTGAGCTTCAACACTTCCCCGTCGCACGTGGGCCCGAATTTCTCTTCAGGGTCGTAGTATCCATCTTCGGGTGGTGCATCTCAAGCTGGGCTCCAATTTTCCCGGTGTACTCCGGTGCCTACATACGGCTGCATGACTTCTGGAAAATGCACGCTGCTGTGGCGGAAACATGGCTTCGACAAGCGGGAAGCCAGCAAGACGATACACCCCCCCAATACCCATCTTGGCAGAAGAGCGTTTTCAATTTCGCCCAATTCTCAAACCCCATAGGCCGGCAGGATTTTGAGACCACATCGAGCAGATTACAACGAGTATGGCTGCGCTAGGACTTTAGCGACTTCGCCCGAATTCAACGAAATGAGCTCGGGACTTTTGCGGGACGATCACTAATTCCTACCAGCGACACTGCGAATGTAAATCACTCCCATACCGATACCGCACCCCACAAGACTTGAATTCGTCACCAGCGGATCATGACCAGGATGACAAAGCTCTCGCTTCGCGATGAAGACAATAAAGCAACAACCGACTCGCACAAGAACGACGATAACAGCCAAAGCAGCACTGCCTCTAAACTCTAAACTGATGATGGAAGGCCATTGCAAGCTCCACAGATGAGTAGGCACGGCACTGCTGTGCCAGTGATACCACCGGCTTCGGCATAGGATGCCTCACAGAGGCCAACTGCACCGCATTTGAGTCGGAGGGGTGGGAAGAGCAGAGCAGAGAAAGCCTGAAACGGAATACGAAGCTCTCCCCGGTTCCGTAGTACCTCGAAGCAGACTCTGCGTCCTTAACTCAGGGCAGCTTTCCACTGCGCCTGTCGGTAACGTGCCAGGCAGAGGAGGCAAAGCCTCCGAAAGCATGCCCCTTGTGATCCTGCAGGGAGTTGCAGAGCATTCTGATGAGGCGTCTCTTGCTCGGTGTCGCTCTACTCGGGCCAAGACCCCCAGTAAGTCTGTGGTTCAACAGCTCGAACAAGGAGTGTTAGCAGCTTGGAAGATGCATCTTGCCGGCGTCTGCCAAATGCTCAACCGGCTCGATGAAGCTGAACTCAAGCGCTACTTTGAGATGCTGGCATAGAGACAGACTAAGGTGCACAGAAGGTTTGTACAAAACTGATGACCGCGACTGCTACCTAGAAAGTGCTTGCATTCAGGCTCTGTGCCCTTCTGTCTTCGTTCTCTTACCACCCGATCCCTCAATCCAGCAGAACAGGCGAGGTCCTGGAGAAGCAGGAGCGTTGGGCCCTCTCCTTGCATCCTTCGGAAAAATGTCTTTAGTGATACTCCATTCAAGCCTCGGATGGCAATCCCAGGAAAACTCGGAAGATGCATGAGGCATAAGCACGTGATGCTGTGCTGCAAGCCTGAGTTGCAGGCGTGGCGAGTAAATCAACCGCCAAGCCGTCTTCCACTGTAGCGATGCCTGACAAACGAGAAACGAGCTCCCTTTTCCAAGAAGGGTGCCCTGCTGACGATCAGCTGACATGTACACTCCTGTGACACACCCCCAGATCCCAAAGCGGCTTGGATCGTTCTGGCTCTTTTCTACCGAGCAGTGCGCGCTGCAGCACAAAGAGTTCGGGAAGCCTTTTGGGGAGGCCACTCACAGCTACCTGCGCACCTGCACCTGCAGTTCTGCAAGCTTTCAGCTCACTGCAAGTTATAAGACATTGTGCACAAGCGCTGGTGCCAAAATTTGCAATCCTCCCAGCCTCAAGCTCTTTAGGCAACCCTACGTGGCTACCGAAACCAGCCTCTGCCTTTCTTCTTCGGCTTCTCTTCGGGAGGCTGCGGCTTCAAGGCCACCGTGCGCAAGAGTGCATCGAACTGGTTTCCATCGAGGAAACCCATGTGGATGACGGGCTCCACACGAGGCAGGCCGAAAATCCAAAGAGTGGGATATGCCTGGACCTGGAAGCCAGCCGCCAGCTCTTGGAACTCCTCAGCATCGAGGATGAAGATCCGCAAAGGTGCAAAGAGAACGTTGCCGGGAGGTGCAGCTCCCGCTCCAGCAAATGCCAAGCCAGGCGCAAGGGCACCTGTTGCACTGGCTCTACGCTGCACCGCCTCCTGTAGAACGGGCAGCTGCTTGTGACAAAAGGCGCATCCACGCCGGGTGAACTCCAGAACGACCTGCGCATTGCCGGACATCAGCCTTGGTCGAGCGAAGTAGCGCATGCAACTCGAAGGGACCGGGCTTCCTAAAGAATTGAACCCAGGCATGGAAAACTATCAACAAGAAAGATATGGAGGGCTGACGACCCTCCGACCCTGGATTCTTCTGGCTCTTGCTACACTGGGGGGAGCATAATGGAGCTGAGTACGGCTGACAGCACGAAGTGGCGAGTACTGAATCGACTGCGCAAGGAAATCTCGCCAGTCTTGAGGGACTGCAGTTCCTGGATCTCTTTGTGGGTGTGGGCGCAGAGCCACCTGCATCACATCCACTCTTTTGCTCCGAGCACTCGACCCCTTCCCTATTTATACATTGATGCGAAGAGACCAGTGCCACGTACGGGCGCCAGATCTCTAGACTAAACTTCACACGGCGGCCACCTCCCCATTCTGCAGCAGGACCAGCTCTCCGCTTCGGATCTCCCTGCCCGTCTCGTCTCTGTTCACCATCCCTTCCTCGGCCTTGTCGATAGAAAACGAACGAGGCATCGGCAGTACTTAGGATAAACGAAGCAAACAAAAACATCAGAGGCACTCGGGATACAAGGAACACGGACACTTAACTGCTCATATCTGATGGAGGTATGTAAAACGCATATACTCGAGCTGCATGGGTTCGCGTCTTATATGCAGGCATATTGACATATTGCGTTTGCGGGCAAGGCGAGCGCGACGACACGTGGGCACATGAGCCATGTTGCATCAGGCTGACCCTGCGATCCACCGCAGCGTTAGCATTTACTCACTGGTGCCTTAAGCATGTTGAAAGTCGCTGTGATTTAGAGAAGACTTTGCAATCATGCACCACGGCCAAAAGTACATCGTAGTAAGCAGATGCTCAAGTCTGTTCATCAGTGCTGCGGCACAGTGAACTGTTAGAAATGCAAAGGGCAAGGTGGATTGCAACAGTAACCCACAGATCCCATTCAAGAGCAAGCGTCATCGATCGCAAGTCTTGTTTTGTGGAGATTCCGAACGGGCCACTGCACTACATCGTAAACAATGCGAATGGGACGTTTTCGGCAAAAGCATGTGCATGATCGTATATGTATGTGTATATGTTCATGCACATGTATATATGTCTACATGTATTATGTATGTATTCCTAGGTGTGTGTATATGTATATATATATATATGTATATACGTTGACATACATACATACATACATAC